GGGGGTGGGAGTGGAAGAGCTAGAGGAGTCCCTGCATGCACCCGAGAGCAAGGACCTCTGGGTGTCCTGGAGTGACAGTCCTACCCAGGAATGCCTGGCCTAGGTGGCCCTCAGCCCTAATTGCCTGCAAGTATGTCTGCCACCAGGTGCCTTTGCTGTCATTGGTCTGTTAGCAGCTGAACTGACAGTGGCCCATCTTGGGGGGTGATGAGAGGCGTCTCCTGTCCATTCCTCTAGGTCTCAAACACCCTGTGACACCCACCCGAATCCCCAGGTGTGTGAGCAGAGCTGTGCGGCCCTTTGCATCCTGGCCCTTCGCAAGCCAGAGAACAGCCGGCTCATCGTGGAAGGGGGCGGGGCCCTGGCTGTGCTGGAGGCCATGAAGGCCCACCCACAGCAAGTTGGCGTGCAGGTGCATGGGACGAGGGCCAGGTGTGGGGACAAGGAGGGGTGGGCAGCCTCCTTTCTGCTTTGGGTGCTGTGTCCCCTTGCCTCTGGTGATGCTTGGTGCTCTTTCTCGCCCTTACCCCGTCCACGTGTTGGTCTCTTTAAGGGGGGGGTCTACGAGGGAAGAGGAGTTAAAGGAAAGGGGATGGGTTTTCTGTGGCTTTGGAATAGGAGTGGTACACTGTCAGATAGCAGCCAAATATTGAATAGTGAAACACAGTGAAGAGTACCAGAATATTATCAGATAGAGTGCTAGAAAATGAGCCCTCAGGTTGGAAGACACTCAAAATGTGACTAGGGAAGAGCTGCCTCCTCAAAGTAGAGTTGACCGGGATGACACAAATGGAGTAGAGCTTTCAGGGCCTCCATTGGCTGATGGGGCACGACTTAAAATGAGGAGCGACAACTGTAAACAGCCATTAATAATCAGAACATAGAATGTATGAAGTATGAATCTAGGAAAATAGAAAGTCAAAAATGAAATGAAAACATATACGTCATGCTTGATAAAGTGGAGGGTCAGCAAAAAAGAGGAAGACACCCCCCCCCCAAACCCTCCCCAGTGAGATGGATCAGCCCAGTGGCAGCAGCAATGGGCTCAAGCGAAGTAATAATTGTGCTGCTGGCACAGGACCGGGCAGTGTTTTGTTCTGTTGTGCATAAGTTTGTTATGAGTCGGTACTGACTCGTCAGCACCTAACAACAATGTCTTGAGGACACACCACTGGTCGTAGGCAGTCCTCCTCCTCTCCCACCTGGAACCCAGGCTCCTCATTGGGCCCCTAGGTCCTGAAATGCTCCAGGCTCCTGTCCACGCTGGCCTTTGCTCTTGCTGCTCCCTCATCCAGGACTTTCTTCACCCCCACCCTAGATCTCCCTTTGGCTCACCTTCCACTTGGTCCACTTCCAACCATCTTGGCCAGGCCACTTTTACCTCTCATCCTCCAGAGGCAGGCACTGTGTTTGGGAGCATTACCACAGTGCCCTCATGTCCGCACATGGCCAGTGCCCAGCAAACAAACACAACCACTCTCTTCCCATGCCTGTGTCCTCTGGGTTCCTGCCTCAGCTCTAAGCCAGCCTTGGGGACTTTGGGCCCCCACTCTCCTAATCTGAGCTGAGCTGCTGAGAGGACAAAACAGGGAGATAGTCAGGCCAGCTGCAGGCAGCCCAGGTCATTGTGTAGGAGTGAACCTTGTCCCAAGGCCTCACGGCTCATACCACATTCCCCCTCCCCAGAAACAGGCCTGCATGTTAATCCGCAACCTGGTGGCCCGGAGTCAGGATTTCTCACAGCCCATCCTGGAACTCGGGGCTGAAGCACTCATCTCCCAGGCCCGTGCTGCTCACCGTGACTGCGAGGACGTAGCGAAGGCCGCCCTCCGGGACCTGGGCTGCCATGTGGAACTGTGTGAGCTGTGGACAGGCCAGAAGGGTGACCTGGCACAGTGACCTCCTCAGCCACAGGGAATCAGAGTGAGTAGGGGGCTACAGTGGGCATGGCCACCTGTGCTTTCTGCCACAGCCAGGCCTGCCTGCTCCCCCAGCGAGAGGTGCGTCTGACAAGAAGTGTTTAGTCCTAGCTGTCGTGGCTCCAATTCCTAGCCCTTTCCTCCCAGAAGGACTTGCACAGTATTGCCAGGAATAGGGGCAATACTGTCTGCCACCACGCCATGATGTCTGGCAACTACTGTTGGTGTCTCTGAATGACCTGTCTGTGAGGTGGGTGTCCCGCCTCTATCCTTGTTATCCTCACTTGTAAAATGGGTTTCCCACTTGAACTCTGCTGTCCAGTGGGCAGTGCCATGCACGTCCATCCTCTGGTGCTCTGAAATAAAGACCATGGTTTCAGGGTAGACAGTGCCTGTTCTTTAACTTGGTGTGGGGACCATGGCCTCCGGAGAACTGGGGTGGGGAGCTCCAGGATAGCCAAAGAATGCAAAAGGGTTTTGAGAGCAACTCGGGTGTCTAATCTGTGGACAGACTGGTTGGGACACAGTGGCAGGATGAGAGATCTGCAGGTGCTGAGAGCACACTGTCTGGGGGCCTTAGAGCATGACACCTGAGCCAGCAATGTGAGGCCTCTGAACCTAGGTGGTCCCCATAAAACGGGAGTGCTGAGTCCATTCCAAGGGGTGGAGCCAGAATACAGTGGGGGTCCTCAGCTGTCCAGCTGTGCCTTCTGATGTCACCAGCTTTCCGGTCACCGGAAACTCAACAGCCACATGGCAATCCTCTTTCACCTAGTCATCTAGGCAGGCCACGCCCTCACTGAGCCTCAGTTTCACCATCTGTGGGGTGAACATCATTATTGTTGTTGTTAGGTGGCATCGAGTTGGTAATGACTCATAGCGACCCTATGTACAATAGAACGAAGCACTGCCCAATCCTGGGTCAACCTCACAATTGTTGCCATGCTTAAGCCCATTGATACTGCCACTTTGCCAATCTAACTTGCTGGGGGTCTTCCTCTTTTTCTCTGACCCTCTACCTTCCCAAACATGATATCCTTCTTCAGTGACTGGTCCCTTCTGACAACATGTCCAAAGTATGAGACACGAAATATGGCCATCCTGGCCTCCAAGGAGCACTCTGGCTGCACTTCATCCAACACCGATCGGTTTGTTCTTTTCATAGCCCGTAGCACTTGAAATATTCTTCTCCAACACTAACTCAAAAGCAGCAATTCTTCTACGGTCTTCCTTATTCACTGTCCAGCTTTTGCATGCATATGAGGTTATTGAAAATACCATGGTTTGGTCCAGGCACACCTTAGTCCTCAAGCTGACATCTTTGCTCTTCAATACTTTGAAAGGTCTTATGCAGCAGATTTGCCTAATGCAATACGTCATTTGATTTCTTGACTGCTGCTTCCGTGAGTGTTGATAGTTGATCCAAGAAGAATTAAGTCCTTGACAACTTCAATCTTTACTCCGTTGATAAGAATGTTGTTTATTG